TTCTATAGCCACATCTCATTCTGGTGTAAAGATTGAGGCAGTTTCTTTAAGCATCTTGGGTGAAATTTTCCAAATCTTGATTTCCTTAAGCAGATAGTTACAGCCCCTACAGTGGTAACATATGTCTCAAATGCCTGCCCATCTATTTCCTGAAAATTTAACACAGTCATCTTCTTTAGTATTTTGCTGTACTTGAATTTACCCCTAGATATTTGCTACAGTTGATGGTCTATCAACAATTTTCTGACTGATGGTTCATTCCAATTTTTCTCATAAAGAAAAAAAAAAAATCTGTGGTATTAGCATCAGAAAATTTTTAAATAACACAAACAGCAACTGGCAGTACAGAAGAATCAAATAATCATGATGCTCTAAAATCATCATTCTGTGGTAGGGTATGTGGGAACTTTAAAGAGTTTTGGGTGTGAGAAACTACTGGGAATGCTCACCTAATATGCAGCATTGCTGTATTTTGGAATTATTTCAAATGTAACTTCTGAAGTATTTAAGCACTCAGTCTGCACCACAGAATCTGATAAAATTAATCCCCATTGATTTCAACATATTCGTTAGCTATTCCCTGTAGCTAGCTACTTAAAACACAACAAAGTAATTACACAAGTTGAGGCTCAAAGTTAAAGTCCACAATAAACAATGCTGTGAGTTGCTACCTAACCTTGAAGACATCTAAGCATCTTTAACTTCTAGCTTCAGCCTGTGGTGCATTATTTTAGATGTCAAGGGGCTATACATGTAAACAAGAATTTTGTCTAAAAGTAAAAATAAAAAATCAGACATATTTGTCAAGAGTGACAATGAGAATACAAACCGATGTAAAATTGATTTAAAATAAGGACAGTTAATGCACAGTACTTTGAAATTGCTGTTGAAGTGGTTGTTGTTATGTCCTTTTCTATGACAAGCTACTGCATCATGACAAAAAGCTGACTTAATCTCAGGGGCTATTTTACAGTATTTATTTCTGTACTGCCTGTGGGGTTAATTTCAAACAGTAGTTAGTTTTGGCACATGAATACTCAAGCAAACAAAGATTCCTGGAATTAAAAGAAAACTTCCAGTAAAATGTAGATTGAACTCTCAAAAGTTCAAATTATATCTAAGCCAAACATGATGAATCATAAGATTACATGTTACTATGCTTATTTTTGGCTTTTCAAGTGCAATGGTAGTACAGTGTTTAAAATCACACTTCTGTGTTCTCCATAAGTTTGTAGTAAATCTTCCAATACCACTCTTGCTTTAACAGACCCATGGTTTGGGTTTCTGTGGGGTTTTTTTAGTAATACTAAATCTCTTCTTCATCAAACCAATTTTGTTTTCTTGTAACTGCTTGCTTAGATCTACCGTGAGGACAGCCTTGCTGGATTTCCAGAAAACCTAAAATTGATATAGAAGGTGCTGAATTGGGTGTTTTCTGTGTATTTATTATTAGAGTGGTTTATTTTCTCCACTAGAACAATTTGGCTTGAGCATTGCCCTTGCTGAGAAGTCCTCTCCTGCTTGAAATCATGTTTGTCTAGAGATGACCATAGGATGAAGGAAAAGAAAGAAGCAAACAAGAACAAGGAGATAAAAATACCACCATAAAATATCAAAACAGCCAAAAGATGCTTTCCAAGTTACTGCATATTTCATTATATCAGGAAAAATGAAAAAGCAGACAAGAACATAGGCTAACTGTATTGGCACATGCAGCATTCATGCATCATTTAAAAGTAATGCTTAACACTTAATTTACAAGAAAAAAGAAATTTATATTAGTATTTATATAAAGAATATTAAAAGATATCAGTAAGTTGTGGGGAATGGAGTAACTAATCCACATGGATTTGGCTTAAAGGACAGCCAGTAACTTTCCACTGTTCTGTATGCAGTGTAATGAGGTAGCCCAAAGAGATGCAACATGCTATATATGCTGAGTAACATTTCTTTAGAGGCACTGGTGGTGAGATTAAAGTATGATATTCTTGGTAGAGGACTAAAAGAGATAATATTTCTTTCGGTAATTAGACTCCCACAAATTTGTCTCTTGAAAATCATTTTTTTCTGTAGTTTTTTCATCTCTGGCTCTAGGGAAAACAAAAGGTGGAGCAGCAAAACATCCAGTAAAATTAAGAATTGGTAATCTAATTTGGGATTTATCATTCCTTTGTTTTCCGAGTTATGGCTTCAAGTACAATTTTGTAGAACTGTAAATGAGGTGCAAGTAATTTTGAAGAAAGAAATTAATTTGTTCAATAAGTTATTAGAAGAGCTGAATTTCTGTTTCAGCAAAGAAGAAATAGCTCCCATGTCTAACTGACTTTAATATTGTTAACTAAATGTGAGAAGCTCTGGCTCATGCCCACTGAGTTCAATGAGAAACAGCTTGAATCCACAACATGTTGGATCAGGCACAAATTTATTTTGATGGCTTCAAGGAATTAAGAATATATAGGACTACAAGGGAGTACAGCTGATAAAATGAAATCTTAGTCTCACTAAGTTTAATGGGAATTTATGATTCACTTAGAAAAGGTTCATGATATATTAACTTATTTTAGTAAAGCTAAAGTATGATTGGGTGGGCTAGCTACAAAAAGCTCGTAAAGAATAATCACAGTAAAGAAAATATCTCCTTCATCACTTGATTTTTCCTACCAGCAAGCTATTAAAATTTGTTTAAGGTTTTACAAAAAGAATACAATTGAGGAAACAATAATCATTTCTTGAAAATGTAAAAATAAACAGTTCTTTGCATATGTAACCATCAAACTTGAATTTGACCCTAAGTACAGGGTACCAGACTTCTTTACGTTTTAATCCATCCTATCAAAATCCAAGAGTAAAATTGATGCTTTTTCATACACAAACAACAAGCAATTTCACGAGCACCAGTATCAGAAAAAATACATGTCTACCAATGACAGGATCATGCATTATTCTTAAATACAAACTCATCTGCAGATATTTCTCAAGCTGCACATAATACACCACTGAAGTGGTGTAATAATCTTGTTATATACAGGCCATGTCACTGGCTCAGTATAATTGCTGCTTTCCTGGCCCTTGTGATCTTAATTACTGAAGTCAAGGTAATGTGTTTTTTAGAGATGCACCTACAAAAGACATCTAAGAGAAGAAAATGCACCAAGGTGATTACAAATAATAACAATGAAGAATTAAAAATCTGTTACCATTCTGTTTTCAAAATTACATGTAACTTATATGAATAATGGTATTAAAATAGCTTCTTTATGCATACTTGGATGCCTCTGCAGTATACTCCATTATTTCAAAGTAACACTGGAAAAGGATTTAGCTGAAAAACTTTCTTGTCTGAGATCAAAAGAAAGCTTCATTAGAATAATTCCTTACAGTCCTTCTGATAATATTTTCAGGGAGAGTAATATACAAAAAAAAGAAAAGAGAAAAAGAGGAACATAGTGAAATTATGGAAGATCTAGATTACAACTCCAGTGAAAAATGTGGGACAAACTGGATAGGAATATAAAAGTATCGGTTCTGACTGAAGTATGAAACTTATGCAAACAACGAGGGGAAAAAACTCCACCCTTTTTAGAACATTTTGAGATGTGTGAAAACTACAAATGCTAGATCTGTGAAAAGGAAACTGGGAATTTGATCCATATGTTCTGGAAATGCCACTGCCCACAGCTAAATTATTTTTGGAGAACAGTACAGAGAACAGAAGAACCACTGCTAAAGCTGTTATAAACACAGGGTCTCCCTGGTGATGCAAAAATCTTACCCTGGCAGATATTAATGAGTGACTATAACCATCTGGATACCATATATGAGGAAATAACTTTTGGTATGTTCTAGAATAATTACGATATTATTTATCAATTATATCTAATTGTCTGAGGAGAAATCATTCCACTAACTCCAAGGGGAAAAAACGCTATTCAGGGTGGCTCACCTATTGATTTTCTTCATATAGATGAATATAATTTAAAAGCCTGGACTGATCTAAGTAATTCTACTGTATTAGGGAAGATCATATTTTAAGCTTGGGAAGTTCTTTATCATGGCGTATTTTTTCAAAGCAAAATATTTTGAAAATTTGCAGCATATGAAATAGCCCTAAGACCTGCAGACAGATTCTGCTACTGCTTCTCAAAACCAAAAGCACATCACTCTGATTACAAGAGAAATCATTACCAATTCACTTGGGCTACCATTTACTTGTTCACAGGAATGTGTGACTGCAGGGAATGAACTTCATTCATTCTACTGTCAAAACCAACCAAGCCTTATATTTCTATTCTGTGCTTTTAGCAAGCAAAAGCAAAACCTTCAGAGCAGTTGGCATCTTCTGCTTTCTACCTCATGGCTGGCCCCAGACGCTTCCTCCTCTGACAATTTGATAGCCTGCAATTCTCACCTTCAGTTTATTCTAGGCAGTCAGTACCCAGTAGAATCAACGTTATCGCAGCAGTATGCAATAGGTACTCTCATAACTAGTTCATACTAGTAACTCTTGCCACAGAAAAGGATAGAGACCACCATAAAGAGTGATAGATTCAAAGAAAGCAGTGTATACATTTTCTTGGCCATACCAGCAGAGTCTCCCCGAAAAAGTTAAAATATGTTTGTAGAAAATTCTGAATGGTGGCAACTATATACCATCTGTTTTGTTCTGGTTTAGAGAGGAATTGCATCAATCCATGATGTTCCATATACCACCTCTCCTTCACAACAGCCACTGAGCAAAACCTAGCAACAAAGTTGTGACTGTCATATTGAAATAATCAAAAAATGAGATTATTTTATTATAAATGGCATTTGAATATTATATGAATAATAGACTTCTGATTTGATACTAATCTTTACTCTTTTTTGAAAAGATGTCTTTGCTAATAATTTTTTGAGTTCTGAAAATAAAAGAGTTCTTTGCACATATAATCATCAAACATGAACTTGACCCTAAGTACAGTTTTTATTTTTCGTGTCTTTATTCATTCTTTTCTACATAGTATTTGTGGAATTCAGCATCTGGAACGAGCAGGAAACAGGTTGACTCTCTTTGACTCCCTTTATTTCTGCATAGTGACATTTTCCACTGTGGGCTTTGGGGATGTTACACCCAAGATATGGCCTTCAAAGCTGCTTGTTGTCATTATGATCTGTGTTGCTCTTGTGGTGTTGCCCATACAGGTAAATGCGGATTTTTCTTCTCTTTAGAACTGTTTTTGAAACAAAAGAATAATAACTGAAGTAATTTATTGTTACTATTATTACTGCATATAAAATGTCAGAAAAAATAACCACCTTCTATACCTCCTATTCTGTTTCGGGTTTTTTCCTTCCTTTTTCTTTTGTTCTCCTAAAGTCTAGATTCATACTGAAAACCAGCACTAATCGCAGTTTTGAAGTCCTTTTGAAATCTTTCTGTTGCTGTCATGTAGCACAGAGCCCTTCCTTCATCCCGAGATACACGTTTGATACTCCATTTGTTATTAATGGAGCAGTGTAAAAAAATAAAAAATAAAAAAAAAACCCTCACACCCAACAAAACCCCAGAACACAAACAAAGAAAACACCAAACCAAAAAACAACAGTAGCCAGCACTTTCTTTATGAGAATACCATTTCCTCTGCAGACTCTGTTTCTAATCTTGGTTCTCTCCACTTCCTCTCCTACACTTACAGCTCAGTACTAACTTGAAAAAAATCTCATTAAATCTGCAACTCAAGCAAATTGGGTTCACAGCTGTCTAAGTCGGTACACACATAGAGAGAACAGCACAGTTAGGAATTTTTGATGCCTACTGAAGTTTAGCAATTCTAACAGTTTCAAGAGGAGAAGGCTGGAAATCCAAATATGTCAAGGAGTCAATTGGTTTCGTTACATGCGAAGCCCTGCCGAGAGGTTAACTGCTCCACACTTGGTGATCACCCAGACCTCAGGCCACAAAAAGGGGATATGGGGAGACACTGTGCAGGCTTATCAAAGCTTAGAGTAGGCTTGCTCGACCACGAAGCACCAAAGTTTCTCACTTAGCCATAGTTTCCACAGTCTGCTTCTCTGACAGAGAACTAAAGCTCAACTGTGAGCAGACAACACAGAAACCCTGAGAAGTCAGAAGTTAAAGTTTTCAGCATTCATTTTCTTGATATTATTTGAACATTTTATACCTAAATATTTGATGTCTGCATACACAGAGATATGCACTAACATCATTATATTCCCACTCAGTGGAAACTTAGTAAAATCTATATTCTATTGAAAACTAAAATATGCTTTATCAAAGAAATTTGGAATTACCTAGCAAATAGAAGTTTCATCTTTCAGGTAGTTCTGATACAAACTTCAGGCATAAGAGCTCTGCGTTACCTCTAAATAACCTGGAATCTACTGCCCTTGCACATAAATGTACCTATTATTAGCTACTTTGTTTTACAGCTTTGTAATGTTAATGAGGCTTCCTATAGTTTTTCATACAGAGAATGTGGGAGGCATTCTCTCCTGAGCTTTTGTCCTGCAATTATTATTCACGACTCAATCTCTCCATCAGCTGAATGTGGATGAGAAAAAGCAGCTATCACACAGACATATAGATAAATTGAACTCGGTATTAACTGCATATTACTTACAAGAAAATTGGAAACGGTGTTTGTATGTTTTATTATAGGTTGTTACAATATTCTTCTAGTCTAAAGACTTCAGACTAGTAATGTTTACTGTCAGCCTGCATGTATTGTTTAGATGATGAAGGCAAATTTCTTGTATTAACATCTGCGGTGTATTTAAGTTGTGTCTAAATTTATAAGACAGATAGTATACAGAATCACATTCAGAACATTCTGAGAAGAGTTATTGCCCAAGCTAAGAAACACGGTGCTTCTATCCAAGTATCTATAATCACAGCGTACACTTAAGTGTGTGAAAATTTAACCTTTCATTTGAGGGAAGCATTTATGTCACGCAACACTGGGAAAAGAAGAGCACAGAAGTATAAAATACATAAAAGAAAGAAGGTACAGCCTTCATTCTGCTCTGAAATCCTGAGATTTATTGTCATCTCGTAATATTTTGATGGATTTATTCTGCTATTTGTGGCTCCACTGCCATATTTGTTCATCTCACCCACTTACCAGAGAACTTTATAAAAAGTAAAACATTGCGAGCTAAGAGTAGCTTTGCACAGAGCCATGAGATGAATGAGGCAACATTGTTAAGTCATTATATGGTTGTACTGCACATCTGCTTTCCTCTGTATTTCACTGACAATTGACATCTCTTGCAGTTTGAGCAGCTGGCGTATTTGTGGATGGAGAGACAAAAGTCCGGTGGAAACTACAGTCGACACAGAGCTCAGACAGAAAAACATGTTGTGCTGTGTGTTAGCTCTCTCAAGATTGACTTACTTATGGATTTCTTAAATGAATTCTATGCTCACCCCAGACTGCAGGTACTTAGAGTGAGAAATAAAACAAACAAACAAACCAACCAAAAATGCAAAAATGCAGACAGCCTTCTGAAATGGTCTTTAATTTGTAAAACTGAATTTAGGAATAGCTGGCTGAATTGAGAATCTATAATTATAATAAGAAGCTGAGATACAGTACGGAGACATTAGTTTTAAATTGAGGTAAATAGACTAAATAGATGGAATTACTTTCTTGTTGAATTATGCCAGTCCTTTTAGAAACAGGTATTTCTATGCAAATTCCTTATATTCTACTCCAAAATAGAAAATAAATGAAAATACTCAAATTATTTTTTCCTGTTGTTTTGGGACTGAATCCAAAACTCCTCACAAGTCAAAGTGTCTCTTGATTTTCACATTTTGCTTTGGGTTTTTTGTGGTTTTTTTTGGTCCATGTTTGGAAGATTAGATCCTTTTTGAATTGTTGAAATTAAGAAATAAATAGATGTCCTTTAAAGGACAAAGACCTTGAAAACTTACACACAAGAGATTTTCTTAGTGTACGCATATTCTCTAGCAAATACAAACATGTATATGACTTGTTTTGATCATATAAAAGCTTATATGAGATAGCAATTTGAATTCATTATCATTAACTTGGCTGCAGGCTGTTTCTTTTACTAAACCTCCTCTATGTCTTTCACCAAGTTACCTGAGCTAATATGCTTCATTAACTAGTGAAAAAAATCACAAAAATACAATCCTCAAATTGCTGAGGAGCAATTTGACAAATCCCAAATCCAAAATATTCCCCAAAATAATTAGTTAGTAAGTGGCATAAGCAAACGAACAAAGAAATCCAATTCTTTGCAGATGCAAATGCAAATTGAAATGCAAAATTTAGTTAACTAGCCTGAAGAATGAGTCAGGCTCTGTGATACACTGGAGACAAAGAAGAAAAGTACTAATGCTACTTACGTAGCCTAAAAGAGTTTACATACGTTCCCTTCACGGCTGAAATAGGAAGCTGAAGGATACAGATGATGCGCTAGGCTTTCTGCAAAAGGCTGCGTGCTAAGGAAGTCTTCCAGGACAAGGCTGTCCTAAGCTCTCAGCCTCTCCTCTCACGTTCCATTTATCTCTCCTTTTCATTCGTACGTGCACATGTATTTCAGACCAACCTTACTTTTCCTAACAAGGCCTGCTTGTAGTGCAGGAAGCAGACTTTGGATCTGGCCATTAATGCAGAGGAAAAAAATTGAGGGGAGACAACTCCATTTCAATTGTTGAAAACTGCCTACATTTTTCAGCTGGAATGACATAAATGTCTCTGAAAAAAAACATGCTCATACTGAAAAAAAAAAATTTCTAAATGAACTTCAGCTGCCACCCCGGAGTGTTTTGTGAGCACTTGACAACCATCCAGCCATTTTTATTATCCAGTTCAGTATTTTAAATACATATATTCAAATAACCTTTGTCAATTAAATCTGAGGATTATCAGAGACATTTCTGACATTCTAAGTCTCTGTTGACTCATTCTCTAGCAACAATAAATGGTAACATCCAAAAATAACATGACTGTTCCCCCTTATGTTTTTGACAGGACTATTACGTCGTTATTTTGTGTCCTACTGAGATGGATGCTCAGGTCCGAAGGGTGTTACAAATCCCAATGTGGTCCCAAAGAGTTATCTATCTGCAAGGCTCAGCACTAAAAGATCAAGACCTGTTGAGAGCTAAGTAGGCAAATATTGACCAATGGGCTTTTTTTTACTTATGTTTCTCTCATCCTGTTTGACAAACAACAAAAGCAATACTAGAAGGGAAGCATGTGTATTTAAGAAAGCAAGGCTCTGATACAATGTGTTTTTCTATTAAGAAAATTTATCTGAAAGTTTTCAAGGAACAAATATTTATAAGCTCTTTCATTTGACCAAGTCTTTTCTGTCTCAGTTTTTAAAGGTATTGAAACAGAGTGTCTGTGATTTCTTCTGAAAAAGCAGCACAGAAAATTCCAAAACTGTCAGTAATGCTAGAATTAATTTCTCTTCCTTAAGCAAACATGGTAACTGTGAGAGTAGCTCTCCTGATGAGCTGAAAGGGAAAAAAAGTAAATAAAAATAATTATCACTCTGTGAACCCATCGCACAGTTTTGTTTTCTTCCTAAGTTCAGCCTAGTAGTATAAGCAACTACTGTACTATAGCTCCACATAATCTTCTTTCAGGGCCTTCCTCTTAGTCCATGCTTCCACCACTTCTAAAAAAATCCTCTCTGCCACTTAATAGGGAATGGCATTAATCACTACACATCAGTCAAACACAGTTCCTTAGCCCCGCCCCCCCTTGCTCAGTCACTTGAAGGCATGAAGGAATTCACAGTGGAATTCACGAAGGAAAATCATCTCTAAACTCTCCAAAGAGACAGAAAGGTGATTCTCAGCAAATAACCGAGTTATTTGCATTGCTCTTTAAAAGAACTTATTCTGCAAGTAATATAGATATCTAAAATTAAGCCAATACCTGTCAGAATATTTGTGTCATTCAGGCTTCTTTACCCCAGGGGAGTTATTTCCAAGAATCTAATCTCTGAGAATTCTAGTAAGCAGTGTTAGCTTCTCAGATTTCTGCCACCAAAAAATAATTACTTCTACATCTGTTTAAGATTTGGAAATACAATTAAGCTTTTTCAGGATTAGGAATTTTCTTTGAGGGGTTCCTTTTTTTTTTTTCTTTCTTGCTGATTTCAAGAAGGAATTCATGTGGGGATTTAGCTGGCATTTGTCCTACACATTAGGAGACGAAAAATTATCTGTTCCCAAAAGATAATCTTGAATTTCACTTATAATAACCTGGAGGTAGTCAGCTGTGGAACTGTGGTTTTTTTCTGCAGAACATGTAATTGAATGTACCTGTCATAGAATAATTTTCAAGCTCTCCTGAGGGAAGTAGTAGTGAGAATTTAATAGAACATTTAATACAAAATATAAACTAGTACCCAAGACTTTTGCTGTGTTTCTTTTTAATGAGAATGTAGTGTACCGAGAAGATAACAAGGCACATGGTAAACCTCTTCTAATAAATAAAGTAATGGTTACAACACTACTGTCACCAAAATAATCAAGAAGTATCTCATTATCAAAATTTATACATAATTTGTGAAATGCAATGTCACAATAGTGATAAAGGTTGCTCCAAAAAGTAAAGGAACACCAAAAGTTCACTGACTGCATAAGTAGGAAATAGTTAACTAAAGACTGTATTTTTTTTTATATGCCCTAGTACAACTTGACTTTAAGAGGATAATCGTTCTCGCTTTCCTACATCTGAGAGCCTCACTTTGCAAATTTCTGCTGTTGCCTCAACAGTGCTAATGTGCCCAACTTTAACAAAAAAACAGAGTGAGATCTGTCGTGGCACTTACATTGTTCATCAGCGTGACTGGAGGCTCTACAGCTACTTCAACATTTAAAACAAAAAAGTAACTGATTTAAAAGAGCTCTCATTCTCCGTGCAGACTAGCACTAGAAAGTCACTAACGTGCCTACTATGTTTGATTTCTTTCTCCTGCAGCTTTCAACCATGTTCTGTCATGGCCTCAAATATTTCTTCTCTCTCCTTCCTCTTTCTTTAGTGAACAATCGCAAATCTTAATCTTTCTCATGTCCACTCTCTATCTTATACTTTTTCCTTTCACAAATAGATTCTTTAGTATATAAAGTCTTTTTAACCTACCACCCTCAACCAGTGGAACTATTAGGTGTTTTTGTCTCTCATTCAGTTCTCTAGCACATAAAAATGGCATAATGGACAAAGCTTTTTAATTTGTTAGGACACTAATAACTTTTTTCATAAGGATACTCTGGGTTCCAATACATATGTTTAACACAGATACTATCAGTGTTTTTGTTGTCTAAATTCATGACATTCATAGATGTTAATCTCAGGTTATTATCTTTGCCATCTGTGGCTGAAGTGATTCGAGAAATTACAAAAAAAACCCCCAAAACAGTGGGGAAAAAGACAAGTATGTTCACACGAGGTTTCATTTCTTTCTGAAATCCATATATGCTGTCAATCCCAGTTACCTTTTCAGCTCTCATAAGAATCTCATCTAATTTCACTGAATTTACTTTCCTTCAACTTTGTTAAAGACCTTACCTCTCCAAATCTGCTTCCATGCTTAGCTGAAACTACTCATATGGCTCCCATTATTTCTTCTTCTTCAGTGCTCAGAAGCAGCCTCCTGTCCTCTCTTCTCCACATCAGCTGTATCTGACATTACTACTTTGGGTATACTGATTTGCATTTATTACAATACCATTTCAAGTACGTCCATGTACCAGTAAGTGAAGTAGGATTCACTGGAGAAGGATATCAAGATCTGAGGCAAGAAAGGAAAAGCAAACTTTGAAACCTTCAGTCAGACAGTTTTTCTCCACACTTCCACCACCATTCTTTTCATTACATGACCAGTAATACCCCTAGAGAACAATTTAAACCTTGAAAGTTCTCAAAGAGACCACGGACTGAAAATAGTTAATTCATTTAATTCATACATACACAAAAGTGTTTATTTATCCCAGACGCATTATTCAAGTACATCTACCTGTCTTTCTGCTATCACTAGGCAAGACAAGTCTAGATTATCTGCCTTCTCTCATTCATTCCTATCAAAAATAACTTGTACGCATCATTCCTGTTCAGTTCCCATGCGTTGCCTGACCTAGTTGAGAGGCGTCCCTGCCCATGACAGGGAGGTTGGATTAAAGGATTTCTAAGGTCCCTTCCAGCCTGGGCCAGTCTGTGATTCTATACCCTTACTATACAGACTGGTATTATTTATTCACGTTTTATACTCATGGCAGGTAAAAAAAATATTTTGTAAATTAAGTGTGTTTGAGGCCACTCTGTTTTTATTACTTTGGCACAGCTCCTGCTAGTACCAGAGAAAGGAAAGTTTCCCAAAACCTACTCTACAATTAGTGCACTAAGGTGACTGCTGCTGATGTTCAGATAGTGCATGAGAATAGATGAAACTTTCTCCGTATTCTATTTCTGTAAGCATACAAGGCTATAAACTGTGAAACACAAATCCACATAGGTATTTTGTTGGTATGTAACAGGCTTGTCTCCCTTCTAGAATGGATGATGCCGAAGCTTGTTTCATTCTGAGCAGTCGCTGCGAGGTGGACCGGACAGCAGCTGTAAGTTTTGAAGAAACAGAACTATGAGTGAATGTGCATGCTGTTTATACTGTTACTGCCCTTATTCTCTCTCAAGAAGTAAGGCTACTTCTGCAAACAGAAAACTAAAATCAGTCCGTTTAAACAGAGATTTTGCACATGGGATGAATTTTGTAGTTAAGTTAATGAAAAGGTTTCTTTTGGATTCTATACGTAATCTGATGTGTTTAGGGATTTGGTTTAGTGGAAGACTTGTCAGTGCTTGGTTAATGGTTGGTCTCAATGACCTTAAATGCCTTTTCCAGTCTAGGGCGCTTTTTTAGAAAACAGATTATACAACCTACCTATCAAAGAATATACTATAATTATTAAATCAGCAAAAAAAATATCTATACATATGTATATCTATCAACTCACTGGTATTTCCATTCAGAGCTATTGAAGCATTGAAAGTTTACTACTAACAAATGAATTCAACTTTATAAATTAGTGACTAATACCAAATAACCAATATGTGAGAGTATTTAATAATTTTTTATATTGGCCAATTTTAAACATGAAAAATGGCAAGATTCTCTAAATAAGTTAGTATGAGTTTGCCCATGCTACTAGTTATTTTCAGTCAGGTAAGTTACTGACCACAAAGAAAGACTGCTAATCGAAGCCTCTACACAACGTATCTGTGATAAAAAGAATAAAACTATTTTAATGCAAGCTACAACTCTTCAAACTAATAGAATTACCTACTGATCACAAACGTCCAGAAAAAAAGTTCGCTAAGGAAGAACTTATGAACACTGTAAATTATTCACCAGTAGCTGCTGAATTATTGCAGCCTTACCTCTGTTCTGTTTGATCTTGAACTGCAACAGAAACTCAGAATAAGTCTAAATATTGACAAAGTTAAATTAATAAGCTTACACACTGCCCGATGAGATCAAACTAGTGTTTATAATTAGGTAATTATGTTTGAAGCTATCCCAATTAAAAAAGATACTGTTTTGCTGCTACATTTTAAGAAGGGGCAATTATTTTTCTGAATATTGAAAACAGAGTAAAACATGAGAGATGAGGGCTTTGCATTATATATGTAGTATTTCTTAATATATTTGCTATTACCTGCTACAATTACTTCATACACCATCAAAACTTAATTGTTTCCATATCTACCCATATGGCTCATCAAGGAAGGAGGAACAAAAAAAAGCAACATCAGCTGCAGCTAGCAAGAAGAAATTATTATTTCCTTGCTAGACAAATGAGCCCTGAGAAGCAAATTTTAATCAAAAATATTTTTTGTAGACTACCAACATGCTGTAAATAATATTTTATTCAAAGCTAAAGACCTTGTGCTTGCAGCAAGCTACTGAACTCCTTCATAAACCGATCTGTGCTCCTGCTATATAATAAACTTACTGAACTGAGAGCTTTGAATTCATTGGCAACAGACTCTTGAGAACACACTAAGAAAGCTACTGAATTGGCAGCAAGTAATCCCGGAGTAGTCAAGTAAGGCAAGCACACTCTGTCTGGAAGTGACAGAGGCGCTAAGCTATTTAAGGGTATGAACAAGCAACAGTTCTTGCAAATACCTGGGAAAATACCCATAACTTCTGTGAGAGCGAAAAATAACAGAAAAGCCAAACTGCCTTGCCTAAATTAGCCATGAAGTTCAGAAAAAATCAGCTACGCCACCTCATTTGACAAAATAGACTCAACAGTTGTGAAATGGCTAGAAATGAGCAATCCCATACAAGCAGGGCATGTGATTTACACTGCGCTTGGTACGTTTATGCAGCTTTAAGGACAGCTGCACCAACACAGGGTTGACTCAGAGGTAAGCTGTTCCATCTCTGCTCGTAACCTCTCCAGAATTTACACAAAGAAAGGACCATTTTCAACTCTGCTGAACTCTCCTGCAGGGCAGACAGGGAACTCTAACGTGGAGCTCATGGAACTTCCATCCATTGTGGCCAGCACTATCTAGTTTGGGTTTCAGCGTTGTAGCCAGCACATCTCTTCCCAGGCAGCCCTTCTGCCCTCAGGGACACTGCACGCCAGGAAATTTCAGCACGGTACCTGGCATGTTTCAGCTTCCAGTACAGACTGCTACCAAATCTCACTTACCTGGAGCATACAGACAGGCAAATTTCACCAAAGACGCAGTCCTGTTGCCTTCCTCTGGGGCAGAATGCCCTGTTGGGTGACTGCTGGCTGGTGCAGTATCTCAGTGGCAGCAGTGATACTCTGAGGGTCAATGCTATCTGAAGTTTTAAACAAGATGTCAGCCCTCTCTCTCTTTTGGTTTTTGTTCCTCAGATTTCCTTTACACGAGGAGTTCAATTATTTATGCTCCAAGTAGAAAATAGGACAACTGTTGGATTGTTTGGTGGGGGTATTTTATTATTATTTTACTGCCTCCAGAGCTTAGAAGTGAAATGGATTTATTTTCCAACACTGTTCCAGCTCTAGTCACTACCAAGAACTTCAATAATGTAGTACAGAAGGTTACAGTTTGTCACTAGGTTGAAGGAAGTTCAGTTGTCACCCCAGTATCGATCTTTATAACTACAACTGATTTTTCACCCCGCTCTGCTTCAGAAGCTGACAAACTGTTAGGAGTGTCTTGGATCCTCTCCCACATTTGACAGCTGTCAAAATAAAAGTTAACAGATGAACTGAAGAGACTCCTAACCAGAACAGCTGTTGTCACTCGTGATTTTTCCAAAGTCCATGGGGGTTTTTATCTCCCCAGCTACAGTCCTCAGCAGAGGATCTACTCATTTGCTGTGGATAACACTGGCTGTTCATTGCTTGCTATTTTGTTAGTTAATAAATTTTAGTGCTAAAGTCTGTGTTGCTTTTGATCCATGGATCTCAACTATAGCTCAGAAGAAAAGTACAATAATGAGTGACATGCAGTCACTTCATAGAAATTGTCAGTTCCTTCCTTTTTCTGTTGGAGGAGTAGGAACTTGAACTGTCAGACCAAGAATTTGTCACAGCTTGCCAAAGTCTCCTAGCAGAAACTTTCGCTTCTCTGGCAAGACAAAGCTCTGCCAAATTTTCTTCTATCAAATGATATTTTGACATCTCAGACCAAGATGTAAGCTGCTCATCTTGGGCAGGACAGGACAAACATCTGTTTCACTTCTGGATGATGCAACTCTTCAAGAGACTTCTAAATGTACATACTTCTGGAGGACTATTATTTTTAATTGTTTTTTTTTGATTGATGGGTATAGAACAGTAGTCCATGCCACAGCACAAAGTCAGCTGCCTACATCAAAATGCTCCACAAAACTAAGGTACTTGAAAACAGTGCATCTGCTGTTTTAACCCAGGGAGGGGTCGGAAGAAAAGTCTCTTTTGACTATCCTACAGAAAACTCATTAATAGGCCATATAAGTATACAATAGCCCGCTTCTACTGCTGACAGTTTTATTCTGATGCTTTCTGAACATTAAGAGATGACTGAGTTCAAGCTTGCACCTTTTATTTCCCCTTCAAATTGCATGACACTTCTACACTGGCAATCTAAGTTATACTGCCTTAATAGCATCACAAGATGGATGCACTGTACAGGACGATAAAACTAATTTATCGAGCTGTGCATGGCAAGAAAGAAATTAACAGAACTTTGAGTTCCGATGATTTAAATTCCTGCTACACCCCCTTTAAAACTTACAGCTTTTGATACATGAACTTAAATATCACCTCTGTATTAATCACCATCAGTATTAGTGGTAATTTTTTATCAGTGACTGCAGTTCTTCACATGGAAAGTACGCAGAAGAGAATATATTTTTCCTTCATTTCCCAAAGAAGAACACGTTCTTATAATGTGAAAAGAAGCATAACTGGTTTTAGTTTTCTGTGTTTATAGTATGTACATATACACCACCTTTTTACTCGGGAGAAATGTGAACATTTTTTGAAGTTGCTGCAATCTAGTATAGGAATTGCTACCTATGTAACACAGAGAGCCACCAGTACTATATGCAAAGACCGAATCTAAAATATTACTTGAAGTGACAACCTTTATTTCAATTTCTGGAGTGCTTCTCTAGAGTGGGATTTGGGGAAGTAACTGAGCAGAAAAAAAACATGGAAACTCAAATAACCAGCTTTTGAACACAAACCTAAGTGAAAAGAGAGAAAATGAAACAACAATGCAAGGTTATAAAATTAGCAGCACATACAGTGTTGATCTTAGGAAGCAATATAGGGCATTTAAGTATCAATTTTATATATAACATTTATAGACTGTTTCTTAAAAAAAGAGTTAGTAAATGGAAAGCAATACGTATTTTGCAGTGTTAAAATTGTAAATGTGCCAAATAATCATCAAGAGATTATAATTTTAAGGGGTCATTCCCTTTCCTATACAATTATTTAAAAATATTTTAACTTGAGATTCATACTTCTGGTTTTACAACACTCACTTCTATGGGTCTATGTTTGTGGGCTTTCCTTCATCTGTGCTGAAGCCACAGCATTTCTCCAAGTGACTCTGAAGGTGTTTGCCTGTCTTCAACAACATGGGTTTTTTAAACCTGTCCAAATCCCCTTCCAAACCTCTCACTCCTGTCGCTTATCTGTATGACTGCCACCTAACCCATTAACAGCCATTTGCTACTTCTAAGGCATGTTGGCATTTCTTTCCCTCAAGATAAAACAGAAAAAAACCCTAAGGAGGGTAAGTCACTATATGCTATAGAAAAAGTGAAGAAAAAGCGACTGTGCACAAGGAAAGCTTACAGCAGGGTGCATGCAAGTTCTGAAATCTCTTGAATGGGCACAGCAATTCCACATCTATGAAACCACTAATAAGAAAAAAATGTGAAATAATGTATTTTACCATCCCCCAAAAGGTCTTCCCCTTATGACTCCATCCTAGTATTTCTAGCAGAAAAAGTACTAACATCTCAGTTGACATTAAAATATCATGGTTTGAAAATGTCAATTATGCTCTCTTCCAGGCAGAGATTTTCCCTTGTGTTCATGACTCTGAAAGCTTTTCTTATTGCTGATGCTGCAAACATAATGAATCATTCTTTATATTTTATCTTTTAATACTACCAATTTCATGACTAGGCATTTCATCCGAAATATTGCTTCCTACATGCAGCTTTCAAGTACACCTTTTTATTTATGAAATAAAAAAAAAAAACTGGCAGCTTACACACTGAAATTAGCCATATTTCATGAAATTCCATATATGCATGTATTACCACACACTCTACTTTTAGGGGATAGCAGTATTCATCCTGTGGTTAACTCACTCTTGACATGTGGTAACAAGTACCAAACCTAACAGGCTGGGAAGTCTGTTGGAATCCTTTGGTCAGTAGCTGGCTAAATTTCAAATTATACAATCTCCAACACTTGCAGAAAGATGAGAGAGGGACAAAATACAGTTCTACAAATGTTTCAGTTGCACCAAAATGTAGTTCCAGTTTTAATTGAGCTGATGTTTTTTAGAATTATCCACAATTTTAAAGTCTTAATGCCTGATGTCCTCATTTAATGCTATTTAAATTCTGAGTATCTTTGGAAGGACATACCTAACACATCATTCTTGATTAATTAGACATGACTTATCACTACTGTTTAAGTTTTCACACAATTCTTCCATATCCAGATGTCACCCCTTTCAAATTATGTGATCTTCAACACTTGCAGAAAGATAGTACAGGGACAAAATAACTTATTAGAGAAGGATTTGTGGAAACAAACCATCTATTCTGCATTCCAACAAATATAATATATTATACTAGGATCATAGGATAATGGAGGTTGAAAGGAGGCTCAGGAGGTCTCGAGTCTGACAGAGGTCAGTTTTGAACACAGACATGTTGGTCAGGGCTTTATCTAGGTTGGTATGGAAAGTGGTGGAGGCATCGTAGCCTTTCTGCACAACCTGTTCCACTGCCTGTCTTCACGGGGGAAAGGTTTCTCCTTCTATCCAGCCTGAATCCCTTCTGGACTTACATCCATTGTCTCTTGCCTTCTGACCAGCTGTCACTCTGCAGGCTGTCTCCATCTGCTTAATAACCATCCTGTAGGTACTGAGGGTTGTTGTTAGGTCCCCCTGAAGCCATCGCTTCTGCAGGTGAACCTCCGTTGAGTTCATTCATTTCATCTCTCTGTACTGAGGGTGTCAGCTGGATGCAGTGTCTAGATTCAGTCTAGCTTGAGCTGAGTAGAGGGGGATAATCCCTGTCTCCATCCACTCCCTGTGCTCCTGTTACAACAGCTCAAGGTGCTGGCAGCCTCCCCTGCTGCCAGGGCACTCTGCCAGCCCATGCTCAGTTCCCTCTCTGCCAGCCCCCACAGCTCTTTTCCAGCAGAGCTGCTGCCCAGCCAGTCAGCGTGCGCCAATGCAGGTGCTTCCTGGGTCTCAGAGACGGGACACGGCTTGTGCCTGCGCTGAATCCCCCCACAGTTCTTGTCAGCATCCCTGTGCCCAGAGGTGCAGCTCGCCGGATCTCCCTTTTGTTTCAGCATGGTGAAGCTACTCATTTTTCTGCCATTGTTGGAGATCTCCCTTAGCCTTCATAACTTTTCAATGGTAAAAAAGCAGTCACACAAGGGCACTGGCCTGCTCTCTCTGCACCCATACCTGTGGAGTTCACCGGAGCAATCTGTGCCTAAAATCATCCACTGCTGGTGATTCTCCTCCCGCTTTGCAGCCTGCCTTAAAGCAGAGGCCTGAGGAACCTTGTTGGTGAACACTGAGAGTACCTCACCCTTATCTGTGTCTGCAGAATTACTGGATTTTCTGTGTAAGTGTATATATACTTATGTATTTAAAAATACGAAATACCCATAATATGTAATATTACTTATACAACATGTACATAAACATCCACATCAGCTCATCTAATATAGTCTTAAAATGAGGTTTTTTTCAATGGAATCAGTCTGACAGGAAGTTCTTTTTCTAATCTAACATGGTTATTTGTATTTCATTCTCATCTTCCCATACTCTTTATTCTAGGATCACCAAACCATTTTAAGAGCATGGGCAGTTAAAGACTTTGCTCCAAATTGTCCTCTGTATGTCCAGATATTGAAACCTGAGAACAAGTTCCACATCAAGTTTGCAGGTAAGTGTAAGATTTCAGCCATTGGAAATACTTGTTGGTATTTGGCAGTTTGTTTCATAAACACCCAAGGCAAAGGGAGATTCCCTTGGCCTGGTTACTGGTTGGAAGTAGATTAAGAGTATAGCAATGTAAAATAATATGGACTGTATATGTCCTATCTATAGTAAACTGTCTTGCTTTAATGTAAACCTTTATTTATAAGCACTTTTAAGGATTACTACTCTTTTATGTTACATAATATACAAAGTAGAATTATCTGATATATAACACATTGTGACGCCTTAGTTATAGATCCAGATAGGTTTCCAGCTTGCTCTATCCATGTCTTTAAATCATTTCTCTCTACTAAAACATACTGTTACTAAGGGGCATATGAGAAGATCTGCACAGAAAAGGACAATCTATCAAACAATTGACAAAAAAAGATCTTCCCATCAGACTGTTTTTCTAAGTGGCATGAAAAACATTATTTAGTTATGTTCAGATATTTTGGGAAGAGACATATAATTGAATTCCATATCCAGTAAAATGCATGTCTTACAAACTATAACATAAAATGCAAAATGGTGTTAAGAAATCAAAAGAAATCCTCTCTTGTAAGAAGAGATTACCAGCATTAATTTGACAAACTGTGTCTCTGCATTATATAGGGTCTTTCCCTCTATACAGAAATACACACATATATACATACATCTGTGCAGACAAACGTGTATGTGCAAAAAACACGCAAATACTTTTATAATGAATTCATTTTGCCTATCTTTGGAAAAAAATCTCTATGAAGTAGAAGCAAAGCTTTTCAACTGCAATTTTGAAAATTCAATTTTCTTGAAGGATATTCTAGGGAAGAGATGATTGCCAATTCATGCAAATTAAAAACAAAGAAACAAACAACAAAAATAACTCTACAGAAAAATATTAGGCTCCTCCATCATCCCAGAATGTGATGAAAAACGAAATTCTAGTGCAGAACAATTCCAGAGCAACAGTTAAAGCTGTAATTTTAAAAGCTACTGAATTTACCGCTAGGTTGGAAAGACAGAAAAAAAATATCAATAGCAGTTCTGAAGTTATAAAAGTGTAATCTCCAACTACGAGATGGCACAGCAGGGAATAAGACTCATGCTGTGACAAGAATGATGATGCTTTTTCATCTCCCCCTTAAAACCACACAGCACAAACATAATCTCTCCTCTGCAGCCACGACCACTTTTCTTTATCAATAACTATGTTAATTTGTTGTTCCTAATTGTAATTTTAAAAGAGTTTCATTATTCTTAATGGCCTGTCTCTGTAGGATCTTGCACATAACTAGACTTGCAAAACAGAAGTAATTTTTTATGTCTGTACTAAGTCTTAGATTGAGATTTTAGACCTTTTTTTTTCAAGCAAACAACAACAAACCCGCAAAACCTCTTTTTGTAATATTTACTTCAGCTGAGCTCAACCAACCTGATATCTTACTGCTTACATTTACGTTCTACAGTTCTTCAAGAGCTTGAGGAGATCCAATACATTCTGTGCCTCATTACCCACCTCTAACATTAATTATAGCGGTTCTGTACTGTTAAAGTCTAAATATTTACATAGCACCTTACATCTACAAAGAATTTCACACGGAGCATAGGGAACACTGCATCCAGTTCCACCCGCTCTATCTGTACAACAGTAAAAGAAGAGAATTACAAGCCTTCCTTCAAGATTATTTGAATCTTAATCATATAAAGCACAGGAAACTTTTAATGCAATTTTAAATTCAGCAAGGTTTATGAACATGGTATAAACATCACGACTGAAGATAGTTAAGGCCACTGATAAAAGTCACGAGAACAACATTTGTGTGCATACTTTTTCCTAAGAAAACTTTGCTTTGGTTATTAATGTCATCCAAGTCTTCTTCATTCTGAAATACGTACCCAGTGGGGGCTGCAGACTACAGCCCTGTCCAGAGTGCTTACGAATAACATTTGTCATAACCACATGGAACATTTTCCCAAGTGTTTTTCTTATTATGATTCAGGACTGCTTTATTACTGCCTTAATGCAAAAGCTTCTTTTAAATTTGATATTCCTTTAAAAAATGACTCCTTTCTTCTGGAGGTTTCCCAAAACAATACTGTGCATTTTGATGAACCTGAAATATTCAGTAATACGATTTCTTCTTTTTTTTTTTTTTTTCCTTTACACACAGGTTTAGAGACTCTGACTCGCAAAAAGTTTTTGAATTTAGAAAGAATAGAACCAAAGAGCTCCAGAAAGTCCTCCTAACAAAAGGTTAACTTTTATCTACACTGAAAACTTACAAAACACTAGAAACCTGACGAGTCATCATAGACTGCATGAGACACACATAAAATTCAGACCCTGACTGCATTTTCCCACAGAATAGCATCCTAGAGATTTCCTTCCTTAAGCTTCGGAAACAGTATACAGGACAAGTAATTGTTCTTATTTATTCCCAGCTGATAGCTAAAACTCTGACATTGTTCATCTCTTCAGTGAGAGCACAAGAGCTTATTCTTGTCATCCCAAGAGAATGGAGACACTTTGCACAGGTTAACATGACCTGGCACAAAGGCAGGTTCCCTGTCTTTTCACCTGATGCCAGACATGTCTTCTCTGTTACTTTTTTACAGTGGAGTGTAACTACTTTGTTTAAAATGGTACCTTATGCTTATATTAATACAGCGGAAGTCTTTCTCTGTGCTTGAATGTGATTCTTCAGTGGAATCTGAAAAGCACGAGGCTTAAGTGTTTGTTCTAGCAAACTCCTTTGCACGTTCCAGGTGTGAACGTCTATAAATATGCAGTCACTTGAACATGACAATTATCAGATGGGCAAGGAAACATTGGTCACCATTGTTAACCATCTTATGTCTCAAGTTGAAATGCTTTGATTACTCCTTAATAATTTCCAAAATACAAGTGCCTTGACATGTCCAGTTTTTCTTTCACTAATACTGTGTTTTCCTTCACTGGCAGTTACACATGGTTTTCTTAATCTTGCTGCTTTTCCTTCAAACAGAAGGAGCTACAAAAAGCCATGTAACCCTTAACGCATGCATCTGGCCTGGCATTTCAGCACAAACATGAAATAAAGTGGAGACTGTCCACAGCACAGCAATATATTTATGCAGTTCAGAGACTGGAACAAATCACAGATTTTCTGAGCTGAACTTAAAACTTTCCTATATCTGCTTGAAAATAAATGAATCTCCTTTACCTTGAATATTCAGAAATTATGTATAATCACAGTTCCAGGAACTGAGGATACATTTTGACATTCTCTATTTATTCAAAATGCACCAGTGAATTAGTACAGATTGGTGAAGCCTGACATTAAACCTTCAGTAGTTTATTTAGAAGGAACATAGTCCAGATTCACTGAAATGGATATTGAATGCATCTGATGATTAATCTAATTACAGATAAAAATAGTCTAGAGATAATGGATGGCCATCTTTCTCTATCTGGTCTGGTAGTGATCATGTTAACTTATCAAATTGACAAAAATAAGTTTTCTCAGAATAATTGTGTCAGGTCTAGGACATTCTTCCCATATGTCTGGTGCTGCAGGCATAAATCAGTATTTTGAGTACATTTTATCTTCAAGACCATTACAGAAGTCATACCTCACTGCATCTATCTGAGACAGACTTAGCAACAAATTTTCTGACAAAATATATTTTCAACAGAAACTACAGTTTCTGGAAATTTTAAATAGAATATTTCTTTTGTATAAATGCAATCTAAATACTTCTGTTTCATAGACTATTTTGACGTATTTAATATTCAGTTCAAGATAAGCTGCAAGTTCCTTTGCTGCTTCACTGCCACACTGAATAATTTGCCGATTGTAGTACTACCCTCTGTCAGAGGACCTGACTGATGTCCCAGACCCGAGGAGTAGGACAGCTCTCATCCAGCTTCGTCCCTACTCACTTTAGAAGAGAAAGCATCAGATAAAGTCCTGTATAACCCTCACCACAGCTCCACAGTACAACTCCTGAATATATATAAAAAGCACAGTAACATTATAGGCAAGCTATAATCTGTGAAAATAATTGGAGAAATGAGCAAGTTGGGTTTGACCTGATCTGTGTCTTACACAAGAATTTAACTGCAGTCCTGAAAAGAAACCCGTAGTACCTTTCCTCATGTTTCAGATGGCTACAATATTTCTAATCATGGTAGTTAGATCACTGACGAATCTTCCACCCGGTGTTCTCAAAGCACCTCTGAGAATTCAAAAGCTTCAAAATTTCAGAAGTAGGTAGGGTGTTATTTTCATACACCGATTTTACAGATGCATAAAAAGTCACGAAGGGCACAAGTAGTTCACACGTGGTCAGACTCTACAGTAGGAGTGGAAATAGTCCTCCGAGTCCAAGCTTCATGGCTCCTGATGTAAAAACACTTGACAACACAATGTAAATCTCTTACACATGTGATGACTATTGTTAGGACAGCAATCTCATTGCTGCATGCTACCTTCTCTGTTAGCATGATATTTTACATAAAATCTATCCAAAAAGTCCAGCCAAAAAGTTAGAGAGTGTAGAACATATAGAGGACTTAAGTCTGAGATATCTGCTTTGTACTGTCCGTGATTTATTCATTTTCACA